CTGAACCTTGTCTTCCCAATAAATAAACATGAAAATATTACATCTACACTTTAATGTTTGAGCTTAAGGGAGATATTAAGGTTTTGCGACACATTTTTTGGCGCTAAACAGTGAGATGGCATATGTTCATTTTCATTAAGAAGTTACAATGAGGTTCTGCAGCAAAGAAACAGACCAAATGCAGCACTGCGGTAATTTGCATGTTGGGTCTCATGCAATATGTATTTTAAGGCATTCCCATTCAGGGATGCAAAGGTCAGGTCATGCAATATGTATTTTAAGGCATTCCTATTCAGGGATGCAAAGGTCAGAGAGGAAAGAATGAAAATGTATCTAAATACTCTCAGCGCCTGATGAACCACTGCAGCAGCAAAGGAAACTGGCTGGAATGTAATGTCAGGACAAAGCCACTCTAAAGTCGGTTTCAGATAGGACACGGTATGCCCTGCGCATGCCGCGGGGGGTGGGCGCAGCATGTTTGGGTGCCAGTTGCTGGGTGACCAAAAAGCTTTCCACAATGTGGTTAGCATTGTTAAAGCATGTTGAAGTTTGGTCACTGTAAACGTAGACTTTCTTCTACACTTCTTCTTGGTCCGCATGTGTGCAACAGCCTCCATCCATCCACTCATTATCTATACCGCTTATTCCTGAATAGGGTCCCAGTTGACACCTTGTGAGAGGTAGGGTCCCTCCTGGACAGGTCACCAGTCTGTCACAGGGCTGATGTGTAGACAAACAACAAGACACACTCACAACTATGGACAAATTAGAGTCACCAATCAACCTAAGTGGCATGTCTTTGGAAGCCAGAGTAACCGGAGATAAGATGTAAACTCCCCACAGAAAGGCCACAGGTCAGCTGGGACTTGAACCCAGAAGCTTCTTACTAGAATCAGAATCAGCTTTATTGGCCAGCTTTTTTGGGAAGAAACTGTCCCTGTGCCTGGTTGTCTTGGTGCACAGTGACCTGTAACACTGTCCAGAGGGGAGGAGATCCAACAGATGGTGTCCAGGGTGTGAGGGGTCTGCAGTACAGAATAATCAGTATAAACAGACAGTAAACAATGCAGACAACAAAGGAATGTTCATTGAAATGAGATAAATAGGGATAAAATAGAGTACTTAAAACTAGCATGTATGAGTCTGTACTAGTGGAGCCCAGGAACTTGAAAGACTGTACTGCTGATACAGTGCTGCCAAGTATGGAAGAGGGGGGGTAAGGTCTTCCTGAAGTCCATGGTCTTATCCACTGTTTTGAGCATGTTCAGCTCTAGGTTGTTGCGACTACACCATAGGACCAGCTGCTCAACCTCCCGTCTATAGGCTGACTTGTCACCATCTAGGATGAGACCAATAATTTCACTACTTTGGGAATGTATGTGGCCTTGTTGGGGGAAGACGCAGCAACCACCAGTTGGATTTACCGACCTTGGAGCTACTTGAAAGGGAGTGATGTTTCCACT